ATCAATAAGAATAACAAAGATAAGAAGGACAATAATGATATTCATCTTCATCATAGTAATGATGATGATGATAACATCAACTGCAATAATCATAATGGCGATGATATTAATAATAATAATGATAATATAACAATGGATGATAATAAACAATGAGGATTAATGATGATGTAAATTAATGGTAATGATAATGATTACAATAATAATAATGGATAATGTAATATAATAATGTAATAATAATAAATAATGAATGATCATAATAATAATAATAAAATAATATAATAATAATAATTAAACAATAATAATAATAATAATAATAATAATAATAATAATAATGATAATCATAATGAATAATAATAATAATAAAATAATATATAATAATAATAATAACAATAATAATGATAATGAATGATGAAAATGATAACAATAATGACAGCAATATCAATAATATTAACGATACCAATAGTAGTAATATTAATAAAAATAAAAACTAGAATATTAATAACAACACCAAGAATGATCCTAATCATACAAGTGACAGCAGTTGTAATCACGATATCAATATCAATAATTGCAATAATGATAACGTTTAAAATAAGAGTGAATTATGAATTCATGCTATAATCATCAGTAATCATTTTTGTAATGACAGTGATCAATAGAATCCATAGTATTGGTAGCCATAACGACGGCACTTCTGCATGTGGTGTGGAAAGGGGCCTCCGTAATAATGCAGAGAATATATTAGTAATAATGCAGAAAATATATCCGTTTAAGTAAGTGTATACACTTATAAACTGAGAACTATAAAGCTCTAGAAAGAAGAACGGAAGAAAGCGATACAAATCATGAAACCGCTTTTGACAAAGCGGTGGAAATAAAAAGGCTTCCTAGAGTTGCCTCAGTTTATAACCCAATGCAGCGGCTGCAAACTTAGACGCTATCGTGTTTCAACGTTCGCGAGGGTTATTAGCGAAATGAAAACTCGCTTAAAGATGAAAAAAAGAAAAAGAAAAATAAGAAACACGACTGGGCCTTCCGTCTAAGAGACTTATGCCCGACCACGATTCTCCAAGAGCAAAGTGGTCCGTTTTTTTTTTTTTTTTTTTTTTTTTTTTTTTTTTTTTTTTTTTTTTTTTTTTTACGGTTGTCTTGCTTGTACTTTTGGTGTACAATGAATGTTCGTCAGGAATTTTGTTCTGCGAGATTACCTTAACTCCTCCCCATACATGAACGAACACACGAAAGATGCATGCAACGATGATGAGCGTCAAAGATGGAAAAAGACAGATGTGAGAATTGGTAAACTCCAAAGTACAATATTGTATTTCTAAAAAAGAAAAATAAATGAGGAAATGATTCCATCACCTCCGTTTAACTATTCAGGCCACACTCCCTCACACTTGTTATTCCTTTCCCTCCCTCATTCATCATTTCTCCCCTTCTCCCTTTCCTTCTACTCCTCTGCCTCTTTACAACCGCTACCGAAAATCTTCTCATATTTCTCCCTGCCAAAAACGTCAGAGATGCCAATAACAATTAGTTCCCGCCATTGCGGTGCGTGTGAAGCCCGACCCAGGAAGAACCGGGTTCCAGTGCTTGGGAATATTACGCTTCAAAACCTGTGGATACTTTTACACAGCGTGGTGACCGGTAGGGTTACGCGCGGTTCTGCGGCGCTGATAAATTGCTTTGATTTGTACAGCTGTGCATCTCATGCATTCGGCTGTGCTGACATTACCTTTTATTACGGGTATTGCACCGCTTAGTGCTGCAGCTGATGTGATTACTTAGCAAATCAGAGAGTATGTTTGCGTTACAAAAGAAAAGGTCTTTCCTCCATCACCAAGGCTGTTAGATTAATAAAACCACACGAAATGAAACTGAGCCTAGGAGTCGAGGACCACTAAGGACTTTGATCAGTTGACAGGTAGTAGCCAGGTAAGGAGAGGTACACAGACAGACAGAAAGACAAACAGAGACACCAGACTCGCAATTAGACAGACAGATATACGCACGATAGGAGGGACCAAGGAGAGATTCGAGCAGTAACTATATTACAACTTCGGGCTCAAGGTTCAACATCCTCGTCCTCGGGGCAGACTTCACCTCGATGCGGAAACACGCAAACAAGATCTTGTGTATAATCACTTACCTACATTTGACAAGCCCCTTAAGCGCTTGCTGAAATATAAGCCGTGTATGAAACTCTGTAATGGATGAATGGACTACGTGATCAGGTGCCTCGCCGCCACCCTCGCGCCCTTACCCTTGACCTCACTACCCGTCCGCCTCACTGCCGCCCCTTCCACACCCTGCCGACGTCATAAGCGCTTCCATCAGGAGGATATTCCAAACTCCGGCCTTCTTTTGGGTCGCCTCAATGAACGCATTGACTGATTCCTTCTCCATTACGCTTATGATATTCCTTTACGCATATCTGATGTTTATCTGCGTAGGTTTTGCTTTGCTAATGAAAATCATAATACTAATATTAATAATGATGATTTTTTAAATGAATAATTACTATAATAATGATGATACAACAATGATAATAACTATAATGATAATATTAATGAAAATAATAATGACAGTAACAATGATAATATTAATGAAAATGATAATGACAATATTAATGAAAATGATAATGACAATAATAATGACAATAATAATGATAATAATAACACTGATAATGATTACAGTAACAATAATGGTGATAAAAGTCAATGCAATGATGATGATGATGATGATGATGATGATGATGATGATGATGATGATGATGATGATGATGATGATGATGATGATGATGATGATGATGATAATAATAATAATAATAATAATAATAATAAATAATAATAATAATAACAATGATAATAATTATATCACAAATAGTGATGATGATAATGGTAATAATAATGGAAAAGATAGTGATAATGATAAGAATAATGATAATAGTACTGATAAAGACAATGATAATTATGATACCGATACTATTTTCATCCTTATCATTATTTTTATTATCGTTTTATTATTACTCTCATTAAGACTATTATTATTATTGTTATTATCATTATTATCTTTATCCTCCTCCTCCTCCTTCTCATCACTCATCATCATCAGTATCATTATTATATTTATTACATTATTAGTATCATTATATCTATTACATTATCATTACCATTATCCTTGTACTTATTATCAATGTTATCATTATTACTTTTATTGTTAACATTATTATCTTTATCATTATTTTTATCATTGTTCCTATTATCATTTCTATAATAATGATAATAACAACAACAATAATAAAGACAGTAATAATAATGATTATGATAACAATGATAATAACAATGATGATAACAGTACCATTGATAATAATGATAATGACAATTATGATAATAATGATTATGGTAACAATGATAATATTAACAATAATGATGATGATGATGATAATGATAATGATGATGATTATAATAATAATGATAATGATAATAAATATAATAATGATTATTATTATTGCTATTACTACTACTAGTATCACAATTTCCATTATCATTATTATGACATTGTCATTATTGTTATTGGTATAATTAAGATTATTATTATTATTATTACTATTAACATTATTATTATCGTTATTGTTATTATTGTTATTATGATTATCATTAATTTTAGTACTACTGCCATCATCATCATTCTTCTTCGAGTTTTTTTTTTCTCCTTAATGTTATTATTGCTACAAATGTTTTACTATTGTAATTATCACCACTATCATCATTATTATCATAATTATTATCATTATCGTATCATCATTGTTATTATTCTGTATGATCATCATTATTATAACAATAATGATGATAAAATAGTAAGGGTAATAATAATTATTATCATCTTTATTATCATTACTGATACTGTTGTCATTATCACGATCGTTATCTTAATTTTTTTTTTATTTTTCATCAGTATTACGGTTCTTGTTACTATCATTATCATATTTATCCTTATTGCTGTAGTACTTTCAGTACCAGTATACAGGCTTGATATTAAACCAATAATCCTTGTTGGAATTTCCCTAAATCTCAGGATCTCCCACTGATTCCCGATGCACCGAATCGAACGCATCCCACGCCTGAACTCAACGACGGCGCTCTACAATGACTCGAAGCGTAAGGATACAGTCTATTATGGACTTAACAGGAGTGAATCCAGATTGCTCCGGCCTCTGATGCCTCAGTAGGTGGTCTCTGATACGTCTCAGAAGGATGTGAGCGAGAACCTTGCTTGGTATACTGAGCACTGTGATGCCTTGGTGATTGCTACAGTCCCGTTGATCCCCTTTCCCTGTCCAGAGAGGGTGACCATAGCCCTCAACAGGTCAGGGGGAATGGCCCCAGACTGCCAGATGGCAGCTAGGGTACCATGGAACCCCTGTGCCAAGGGTTCACCACCAACCTTTAACAATTCAGATGGTATACTGCAGATACCTGCTGGGTCCGGCAACGAAATCTCGACACTTCTCGCATCCAAGTTTATTGCTGATGGATCCACCTGGTACAACAGCTCAACACTCATTGCATTGCAACTTGCATCGCAACAGTATATGAGACGATCTGGCCACTTGCTGAACGGACTGCAGTCACCTGTGAAGAGGGCTTGGAGTTAAGCTTTTTAAAAGTAAATGACATGGCCTTCAACCTCCTCTGCAAGACTCCTAATAACTATTCCTTGTCCCATCTCAACAGTGACAGAGTCCTGTGCACCTGAGAACGATGGAAATCTTGATCCCCTGTTAGACGAGCTGCAAGACAGGCATCTGTACTTCCAGTGTCTCCTGCGAGATAAAATTCTGTCTTGCTCAGGGGCATTCACCAATTGATTATTAAGCTGCATCGCGTGTATTAGACTTGAAAGTCTCCCACAGAACTACAGGGTCCATTAGGTTGTTCAGCGCCGTGAAACGACCAGAAATTGCCTTAGCAATCCCCCGGGCATACTCCCCCTCCCTAAGCCTGCCCAAATGAAACCGTATGTTCCCTTGGGCTTTGTCCTATAAGCTTCACACTAGGTTGGCGGCTGCTGTACCTAGTGTAACTCCCGCTTCCATCCTGTGGCAGTCGCCCTCCCAATGGAGCCCACAGTTTGCCCCACTTGCTGGGTGCGAGGGGCACAGAGTTAAGCATGGATAGTGTGATCACGCCTCTATGAAGAACTGCTCCATTTCTCGCACTAGGCTAGCCAGCGGAGGCAGCTGAAAACAAGAAGACATGCAAGCACTTAACACTACCTAGGCTACCACACCATCGCTTCACTTCGTGAAGCACCCCATCCAACATCATCATTATCATCATCTTTCTTATTAGTAGTATCACTGCTATTATTATAATCATGATTATTGCTATCAGTATCATTACTATTACAAAAAGTAGTGTTATCATTACTATTGCAATTATCTTTATTACTATGATTATTTTCATTATTATCATTATTATCATTATTATTACTATCATTATTTTTATCATTATCATTATTGTTATTATTATTATTATTATTATTATTATTATTATTATTATTACAATTATTCTTATAATTATAATTAATGTTATAATTATATTATTATTATTTTATTTTATTATTATTATTATTATTATTATTATTAATTATTATCATTATTATTATTATTAATATCATTGATATTATCATTATTATAATTATTATCGATATCATTATTATTGTCATTATAATTATTATCGATATCATTATTATTGTTAATATAATTATTATCGATATCATTATTATTGTTATTATTATTGTTATTATTATTATTATTATTATTATTATTATTATTATTATTATTATTATTATTATTATTATTATTATTACTATTATTATTATTACTATTACTTATTATTGGTATTCTTACTACTGCTATCATTATTATTATTATTATTATTATTATTATTATTATTATTATTATTATTATTATTATTATTATTATTATTATTATTACTATTATTTTTATTATTAACATTATTATTATTATTAACATTATTATTAGTAGTAGGTGTAGTAGTTTTATAAATATGATTAATTTATGATGATGAAGATGATTATCACTATCAATATTTTTATTACTGTAATCACTATTGTTATTATTATTGTTATTATTATTATTATTATTGTTATTATTATTATTATTATTATTATTATTATTGTTATTATTATTATTATTGTTATTATTTTTTTTGTTTATCTATCAATATTATTACTATCATTGTTGTTGTTGTATTTTTTGTTGTTTTAATAATCATTATCATCAATACCATTATTATTATTATTATGATTATGATGATCATTGTCATTATCATTATCATTATCATCATCATTATGAATATTACTATGATGCTGATTAGTATCTTTACTACTTAGAATATAGATAATGACAATGATATTAACAATTCTCATAACGAAAATAGTAATGATAAGAGTAATAATGATGATGATAATGAAAATGATGATGATGATGATAATAATAATAATATACTAAAATACTACTACTATACTAATAATAATAATAGTTTATAATAATAATAATAATAATAATAATAATAATAATAATAATAATAATAATAATAATAATAATAATGTTAATAGTAATATTGATGATGAAAATAATAATAATAATAATAATAATAATAATAATCATAATAATCATAATAACAAGAACAATGATAAAAATGATAGTGGTAATGAAAATGATAATGATACATTCGTAGTAATAAAATTAATGATGAAGATGGTAATAATAACTGTAACAATAATTATGACAATAATGATAATTATAATAATGATAAAGACAATGATAATAATGATAATAATGACAAAAAAGTACAATAATGGAAATGATAATAATAATGATAATAACAATAATATTAGTAACAATAATAATGATGATAATGATAATAATGATAATAACAATAATGAAGATAGTAAAATCATCAAAGCAACGATAATAATAGCAATAATAATAATAATAACAATGATAATAATAACGATACTCATAACAATAATAATGAAAAGAATAATGATAAGAATAATAATGTTTTAGGAATGATGGTGATACTTCTAATTTTAGCGATAGTAATAGTCATATTAAAAGTAATAATAATACTATTAATGATAAAGATATTAATCATAATGATAATGGTAATTATGTTGATAATGATAGTGAAAATGCCAATAATGATATTGATGATAATGTTGATGATCAAAATACTAATAATGATGATAATACTACTAATAATAAAGACGATAAAGAGGATGATGATGATGACTATGATATTAATGATGATATATATAAATGATAATGATAATACTGAAAATGATAATGATATGAATGATGATNGGGTAGCGTTGGTATGAAGCGGGTAGGATGGTATGCAGGTGTAGGATGGTACGAAGGCTGGTGGGCTTGGTACTGAGCTTGTCCCTCGTAGCCAGAGTCGCCGTCCACGTGGTAGGTGACCTTCTGCAGGCGACCGTCGGGAAGCTGCACGTAGTAGGACCCCTGGGTGTTGTAGCCGTCGCGGGACTCCTGGTGGCCGTAGTCGTTGGCGGAGTAGTCGTCCTTCACGACCCAGTCGAAGTTGTACTGAGCTGGAGACTGAGATGGAAAGGGCAAAGTTTGCTTTAGAAATAGAAATGCATAGGTATAAAGTTTAGCAGTAATTGACACAGGTAGATAATGGTTTAGTTAACGACACTTAAGGTCGGCCATGAGAACAGTGGGATTGCCATTTGAACGCGGGACAGCAAGATTGCTAGACGAGAACGCAACTGCTGCACTGCGCAGAAATCTTTTCACCTTCGTGTATTTGGTCTAATGTTTCATGTCACGTCAATAATATTCTGTTATTGTGCTGCCGTATATTTATATTTATCCTCACATTAAGTATGACTTCATATCACAGAATATTTCCGATATGAATTCAAAGGTATTTTCATGATTTCAATACATTTCATCTTCTCACTAAGTATGATTTCAGATCCTTATATATATTCATTTACACAAATCGATACATATTTGTATGACATTCTGTGAATAATCTCTCTCTCCATTTTATCTTTACGCTCCCTCTCTTACGAGTAGCGTCCATGCCTGACAAACTCTACTCTTAGAACAACACGGGGATGTGCTGGTTCTTGCCTCTCTGCTATTTGTATTTTCACGTTCTTAATACTTTAGGCTTTCCTTTTTCCTGCTTGGAAGGGAATGGCATGAAATTCTTTTTAAGGGAAAATAGCATTTATTGATATATATTAGATTTATGTTAGGCGATTCAAAAAAATTGTGATTGTAAATGAAATTCACATTTATGTGAATGTTTTATGGTTCACTTTTTCAATGATGAGGTCTTGGCCTGTAAGAAGGGGTAGGTCTATACGAAGGTGTAGGATGGTATGAAGGGGTGGTGTGGTATGAGGGGGTGGGCTGGTATGAAGGCGTAGGGTGGTACGAAGGCTGGTGGGCTTGGTACTGAGCCTGACCCTCGTAGGTGACCTCGGCCACGTAGCCAGAGTCGCCGTCCACGTGGTAGGTGACCTTCTGCAGGCGACCGTCGGGAAGCTGCACGTAGTAGGACCCCTGGGTGTTGTAGCCGTCGCGGGACTCCTGGTGGCCGTAGTCGTTGGCGGAGTAGTCGTCCTTCACGACCCAATCGAAGTTGTACTGAGCTGGAGACTAATAAGCAACGATAAATTAAATAAGAAAAGATTAAAAGTATTGTTACAGTAGTCATAATACTAATCATATGGTTTAGGAGGCATTACTATGATAGTTCTGTACAAAAACGGATAATGATGTGATATAAAGAGCAATAAAGAAAATGATGCTTGTAATACAAATTATTATATGGCACAAGGCAGTTACTTACCTGGTAGGAGGGAGGAGGAGAGTACCCGTAGGGAGGCTGTGACGGAGCGGCCAGACAGGCAGCTGCCAGGCCCAACACGACGCTCAACTGGAACACCAGAAAGAGAATTGATTCATAGTTAATAAAGTCTTCTTGTACTTTGACAACTTGAAGAAGTGACCAGTAGCGTATTACCAAAACATATTTTTTCTTTCTTACATTAAGAAACATGTTTGCTGATTTTGCTTGCTATGACAAGCACTCTCATCCCTGTGTCTTATATACTCCGAGAAACGTGGGCGTGCCTTCCTTCGACCCTGAGGAGCAATACAGCCACGCCCATTTTGCCGCTTGCCAGATCCTGATCGCATGAATGGAAACGCGAGAGGGAAAAAATGTGATTGTGACGGATCTTATTTTTTTTTTTTTTTTTTTATTTTTTATATTCATTGATTACTATTGCTATTATTATATAATATTATCATTTTATTCCGATGGCAATTTTCAAGTTTTTTGAAGCAAAGTGTGGTGCGTTTATGATAGTTCCTTCAGTTCACACGGTAGTTGGAATACCTATTTTCCACCAGATTTCCCCTCCCCCGAAGATGTTGGTTGCGCTCCTCCAGTAGGAAGTGAGATTCAAAGTACATTGAGTTCGGGGAATTTACATCATGTCAGTATTGCCATTTCCACTTGGGTATTTCTCCATTTCTAAAAGCTGGAAACGTCCCCTAACATTCATCCTTACTGTCGGACATGTATTGCCGGTGTCATGTCTCTATAGACCTGTACACACATCACTCATAACGATGTGTGATGATATACACATACATATGTAGTATATGTTTATATGAGTGAATATATAAGTATACACACACCTATAAGTACACACACACATATTTATACATATAAACATGTGTGACAGTATGTAAGTGTGAGATGTAATGAAAGGAAATATTTGAAATCAACGGAAATATTTGTAAGCACTGGTGGCATTACGGTACAGTACGTTACGACGTATGGTATGGTACGATTGTTATCAGGCCAAGACTATGGTACAAAACCATCGTACGGTTCACTTAAAGCATGGAAAAAGATAGCAACATTCCCAACCGTGCCGTAAAGTACCTTATGCTAAATGAGCATACAGACAAATTAGTACCTTTGCAACCATAGTGAGTGCATTAGTAGATCACGAAAATGGTATAATGGACTATTCATTTAGTACTATAAGGTATATACACATACATGCGCGTGCGCACACACACACATATATACCTACACATATGAGTCTGTTGCTTATGGTACGACAAAGGCCCATGGTGCAGCTGAGAAATCGCCCAGGCACCCTCGCCCGCTCACTGCCACCGGTGCCCCCGCCCACGCCCACGCCCATCCCAAGGAGGCAGACTCATCCCAGCATCCCCGGACGCCAGCTGGCCCCAGCGAAGGAGGCGAAGGCATCCCCGGGGCAAAGTGCACCACTGGGAAGGATTCTCAGCTGCGGGCGGAAGTCGCGGCGATCGCGGCAGGAAGAGCACTGTTCGTGTGCTCGTCCGTGTCCTTTGACCGTTCTTTGACAGGGTTTCCTGATTTTTTTTTTTTTTTTCTTTTGCCACTTTCGACGCCACTTCCTTGTCAGTCTTTGTAAAGGATCATGCATCCATGCATACACATTTATGTAAATATGTTTTTTTTCAAGTATGTTAGTTTGTTTTCTAATGATGTACTGTATTTATGTGAGGTGTTATTTTGAATTAAAATTGCATGTATCAATATATATTTATTATATAGGTAGCTACTTAAATAGGAAATATGGATATGGTTTATATGATTAACAAAATAGTTTTTCAGTGATGCGGTCTTGGCCTGTAAGAAGGGGTAGGTCTGTACGATGGTGTGGGATGGTATGAAAGTGGTATGGTACGAAGGGGGTGGTATGGTAGGTGGTATGAAGGGGTAGGATGGTACGAAGGCTGGTGGGCTTGGTACTGAGCCTGTCCCTCGTACGTGACCTCGGCCACGTAGCCAGAGTCGCCGTCCACGTGGTAGGTGACCTTCTGCAGGCGACCGTCGGGAAGCTGCACGTAGTAGGACCCCTGGGTGTTGTAGCCGTCGCGGGACTCCTGGTGGCCGTAGTCGTTGGCGGAGTAGTCGTCCTTCACGACCCAGTCGAAGTTGTACTGAGCTGGAGACTGAGATGGAAAGGGCAAAGTTTGCTTTAGAAATAGAAATGCATAGGTATAAAGTTTAGCAGTAATTGACACAGGTAAATACCTAGATAATGGTTTAGTTAACGACACTTAAGGTCGGCCATGAGAACAGTGGGATTGCCATTTGAACGCGGGACAGCAAGATTGCTAGACGAGAACGCTACCGCTGCACTGCGCAGAAATCTTTCCACATTCGTGTATTTGGTCTAATGTTTCATGTCACGTCAATAATATTCTGTGTTATTGTGCTGCCGTATATTTATATTCATCCTCACATTAAGTATGACTTCATATCACAGAATATTTCCGATATGAATTCAAGGGTATTTTCATGATTTCAATACATTTCATCTTCTCACTAAGTATGATTTCAGATCCTTATATATATTCATTTACACAAATCGATACATGCATGATATTCTATGAATAATCTCCCTCTCCATTTTATCTTTACTCTCCCTCTCTTACGAGTAGCGTCCATGCCTGACAAACTCTACTCTTAGAACAACACGGGGAAGATGTGCTGGTTCTTGCCTCTTTGTTATTTGTATTTTCACGTTCTTAATACTCTTTAGGCTTTCCTTTTTCCTGCTTGGAAGGGAATAACATGAAATTCTTTTTAAGGGAAAATAGCATTTATTGATATATATTAGATTTATGTTAGGCGATTCCAAAAAATTGTGATTGTAAATGAAATTCACATTTATGTGAATGTTTTATGGATCACTTTTTCAATGATGAGGTCTTGGCCGGTAAGAAGGGGTAGGTCTATACGAAGGTGTAGGATGGTATGAAGGGGTGGTGTGGTATGAAGGGGTAGGTTGGTATGAAGGTGTAGGATGGTACGAAGGCTGGTGGGCTTGGTACTGAGCCTGTCCCTCGTACGTGACCTCGGCCACGTAGCCAGAGTCGCCGTCCACGTGGTAGGTGACCTTCTGCAGGCGACCGTCGGGAAGCTGCACGTAGTAGGACCCCTGGGTGTTGTAGCCGTCGCGGGACTCCTGGTGGCCGTAGTCGTTGGCGGAGTAGTCGTCCTTCACGACCCAGTCGAAGTTGTACTGAGCTGGAGACTGATATGGAAAGACAATTTGCAATAAAATCCGGAGAAAACGGTGAAAATATCATCTTTGCACCAGTAATAATGATGATAATTGAATGGTTTAAGAGTCATTACCATAAAAGGTTTTCTCTACATAGAAACAAACGAAAGGAAGATATTCAGAGCAGTGAAGTAAATGATACTTGAAATACAAACTATTATCATATGATCCAAGGCACTTACCTGGTAAGAGGGAGGAGGAGAGTACCCGTAGGGAGGCTGTGACGGAGCGGCCAGAGAGGCAGCTGCCAGGCCCAACACGACGCTCAACTGGAACACCAGAAAGAGAATTAATTCATAGGTAACCAGGTCTTCCTGTTCCGTTAATGACATGACGAAATGGCCAATGATTTGCATTGTCAAAACACTTTTTCTTTTTTTCTTTCTCACCTTAAACATGTTTTCTGATTTTGCTTGATATGAAAGCACTCTCATTTCTGTGTCTTATATACTTGGAGAAACGTGGGCGTGGCTTCCTTCGACCTTGAGGAGCACCATAACCACGCCCATTTTTGCCGATTACTAGATCCTGATCGCATGATTGGGATGCTTGGAGAGAAAATATTGTATAAGTCAGCGGTGGTTCCTATATATTATTATATTATATATATATATATATATATATATATATATAATGTGTGTGTGTGTGTGTTGTGTGTGTGTGTGTGTGTGTGTGTGTGTGTGTGTGTGTGTGTGTGTGTGAGGAGATATTTGTTAAATGCACATATAATGTACATATATATATATGAGTAAATATATGTGTGCATGTACGTATGTGTGTGTATATATATATATGTGTGTGTGTGTGTATGTGCGTGTGGATGTATACAAATATACAGTACATATACACACGTGTACCTGTATGTATGAGATGTAATGAAAGCAAAGATTTGAAATAAACTGGATTATTTGTAAACAATTGTGTCCTTACATTACAGTACATTATGGAGTACGATATCTAGTCCAAAAGTACAGTACGGTACTTTTCTACAATACAGGTATGGGATAAAATAGCAAAATTCCTCACCGTGCTGTATTAGGCTAAAACACGACCATGAAATTATTTGTGCCTTTGCGGCCATAGTGAGTGCATTGTATATCACAGAAATAATAATGTACCATTCGATTATTATTATATCGTATTGTAAATAAATAAATATATATACACAGAGTATGTGTATGTGGGGGGGGGGTATATGTTGTATGCATATTTCTATATATACAGTATATGCATTAATATTGCATACATATGTTTATATATTTATGCAATATTTGATCATGGTGCAGCAAAGGTAGTATGTTGCAGCTCTGAAATCGGAGTCCACGCCCGTGCATCCCCAAATATTCTCAATTGCGCCAACGCTGCCCCGCCCGCCCACTGCAACCCTTGCCCCCGCCCACGCCCATCCCAAGGAGGCAATCCCCACAGCATCCCAGCTGGCCTCAGCGAAGGACACGAACGCATCCCCGAGGCTCCGTGTGCGACGTGGAAGGAGTCCTCGCTCGCAGGCGGAGTCGCGGAGGTCGCACCTTCGAGAACTGTTTCCTTTTCGTTTTCCTCGTCGTTCGCTCTCGATTTGGCCACAAAGTCGCTGTTTCCCTTAGTCGTTCGTTGGCTGTCATTTCGTGAACTTTTTTTCTTTCTTTTTTGTATCTTTAAATATCATTTCCTCTTTAGTCTTCATAAAGGATCATGCATGTACACTTTTTTTTCATTCTCTTTTTCAGTCATATATATCTCTGTGTATAGTTTTGTTGAAGTAAAAATGTATATATCAATATATATTTATTTCATGATAGGCAGTTACAAAAATAGCAAACATGGATATAGTTTTCATGTTTTACAAATTAGTTTTTCAGTGATGAGGTCTTGGCCTGTAAGAAGGGGTAGGTCTGTACGAAGGTGTAGGATGGTATGAAGGGGTGGTGTGGTATGAAGGGCTATGTGTAGGACGGTATGAAGGGGTAGGATGGTACGAAGGCTGGTGGGCTTGGTACTGAGCCTGTCCCTCGTACGTGACCTCGGCCACGTAGCCAGAGTCGCCGTCCACGTGGTAGGTGACCTTCTGCAGGCGACCGTNCCAATGCTTGCCCCGCCGCCCACTGCAACCCTTGCCCCGCCACGCCCATCCCAGGAGGCACAATCCCCACAGCATCCCCGGACACCAGCTGGCCTCAGCGAAGGACACGAACGCATCCCCGAGGCTCCGTGTGCGACGTGGAAGGAGTCCTCGCTCGCAGGCGGAGTCGCGGAGGTCGCACCTTCGAGAACTGTTTCCTTTTCGTTTTCCTCGTCGTTCGCTCTCGATTTGGCCACAAAGTCGATTTTCCTTAGTCGTTCGTTGACTGTTCATTTCGCGAACTCTTTTCTTTCTTTTTTTGTATCTTAAACATCATTTCCTCTTTAGTCTTCTCATGCTTGTACACTTTTTTTTATTCTCTCTCTCTCAGTCATACATATATCTATGTGTATAGTTCTGTTGAAGTAAACATGTTTATATCAATATATATTTATTTCATGATAGGCAGTTACAAAAATAGCAAATATGGATATCGTTTTCATGTTTTACAAATTAGTTTTTCAGTGATGAGGTCTTGGCCTGTAAGAAGGGGTAGGTCTGTACGAAGGTGTAGGTGGTATGAAGGGTATGGTATGAAGGGGTGGTGTGGTATGAAGGGCTATGTGTAGGACGGTATGAAGGGTAGATGGTACGAAGTGGTGGGCTTGTACTGAGCCTGTCCCTCGTACGTGACCTCGGCCACGTAGCCAGAGTCGCCGTCCACGTGGTAGGTGACCTTCTGCAGGCGACCGTCGGGAAGCTGCACGTAGTAGGACCCCTGGGTGTTGTAGCCGTCGCGGGACTCCTGGTGGCCGTAGTCGTTGGCGGAGTAGTCGTCCTTCACGACCCAGTCGAAGTTGTACTGGGCTGGAGACTGAGATGGAAAGGGCAAAGTATATTGTAGCCAAAAATGCATAGATATAAATTTCAGCAGTAATTGACACAAGTAAATGCCGAGATATAATTTAATTAACGACACTTAAGGTCGGCTGTGAGAATAGTGTTTGAGACAGGTACAATATGCGATACAGGTCAAGCCAGTTACCTGGTAAGAAGGAGGAGGAGAGTACCCGTAGGGAGGCTGTGACGGAGCGGCCAGAGAGGCAGCTGCCAGGCCCAACACGACGCTCAACTGGAACATCAAAATGATAATAATAATAATAATAATAAATGAATTAAAAAATACTGCTAAAATTGATAGAATGAATCAGCTTATATTGCGAAAAAGATGCCTAGATAGTGGTTGTGGATAAAGCAGTTTATATTAAAAGGATACTCTAGTAGGTTGTAAGAATATTTTTCTAACCGTAAGAAGCATATTGTTGATTTTGCTTGATAGAATGAAAAGCACTCTGCTTCTGCGTCTTATATACTTTGAGAAACGTGGGCGTGGCCTCATTTGACCTTGAGAGACGGCTAAAATGCCACGCCCACTTTGCCGGTCACTCGACCCTCATCCTATGAATGGAAACACTACGAAAAACGAGAGTCGGGAGAGAAAACGTCTAAAATATCAGTATTAGTTTCAGGATGTTTCGCAGGCAGATACACTGCAGGTCAGTTAATCCAGGTCAGTATGGTAGAAAAACCCACAATGCTCAAACTAGATTTATTGAGGAAAGTGAGACAACATTTCGGAATCGTCCTCGATTCCATCTTCGGGTCTGAAGAGGAAAGGGGGAGGAAGCGGTATAAGAGGGAAAGGAGGAGAAGCATTCTCTTCCCTTCTGCTTCTTCCCGCAGACTGGTGGAATCTTCTCTGATTAAGCTGCTGCCCAATTTCAACTTGAACAGTGTTTTTTCTCCTGCCGACAGCCTCCTCGCTTCCCACATCCTTCGTCTCTTTCCTTATGCCGGTCACCGTCACTTGACCGCCTTTACATTATGTTGCACTTTTTTTTTATATATACAAATAATGAATTAATTTTGACATGAACATCTTAAAGGGTAAGAAAGGCGCTGCTTGTATGTGTCTACAGACCATCTAGTGAAGAATTGCAGCCGATTATGTGCTAAGATATACAATACAGTATATACATTCAAAGATTATATCATGTATAGACCTTTCACACAGTCTTAGGCGACTTTCCGGCACAATCTGCCCTCAGAAATGGACTCAACACCTTTAGAAGATACATGACAAGCAGCCTTGATTCTTCCCGTCTGAATTCTTTCGTATTTACAACTGGCGAGCGAGTTGTGACCGCAGTCTGGATGTGATCTTCGCTGCACTTGTGGATTAGCGTGAAACGGATCCAATGAAGTTTGAGGTTGTTAAACTGAAGTCTGGCTGAGGTTTGTGACTTTAGATGTCAATAAAAGTCTTTGATGTATGTCAGTGCGGCTATATTTTCGCTATTTTTGTATTCACTTCGAAATTTTAAGGTAGCATTTTTGATAGCGGAATTACTTAAAGCAAAATAGATCATTAAGTCCAACACTCTACATATTTCTAGTTTAAAAGTGAATTGGATCATAAGTAAAGGCGAAATTCTATTGGCATATCACTTATTTTGCCTTTTCTGATCTCGGCGATATCTCAAGACAGGGCCTGAGATGGCTTGGCTAATGTCAAGCTCGCTTGTTATAGCATATTATCCAAGCTCAGGGTTTGGTGCAAGATGAATGGAATCAAGCCTATCTGATGCTTTCGACACGGCAGAATAGAGTGTGTGTGTGTGTGTGAGTGGGCGTGTAAAAAGAATGATCGCACTGTCCCATCAGCTCAAACCTTCCTAGTTTTAGGCTACATATTGTAAAATGACCATATTTATCCATTTGTAGACGAACATTTCTTACTTTTTCTTACTTCTTGTTATCGTTCTCTTTCTACAAAGATTCCGTAACAGCCATGCTCAGACACGAAGAACTGGACATATAACTGTTCCTAACTTTCATTATTTCCTTAATATATCTTCTGACACATCATGTAGGTTGAGTACACACATGCAGACGCACATGTGTATATATTATCTTTTCTAGATTTTTTTTCCGTTTATATACTATAGGTTTGTTATCAATGAAAATGTGTTGATATACATTCATTTAATGGAAGTAATTAAGTGTAGAGATATATCCATTTAATTGTATGAAGATACAAAAATATATGTATAAATACTTTTTATATGTTTAAAATTCTTTTGTAGCTTAATTGCTTAGTGATAAGTACTCCGTCTGTAAGCAGGTGTAGGATGGTATGAAGGGGTGGTGTGGTATGAAGGGCTATGTGTATACTGGTATGCTGGTGTAGGATGGTACGAATGGGTGATGTGGTGGCTGGTGGGCAGTTACAAAAATAGCAAATATGGATATCGTTTTCATGTTTTACAAATTAGTTTTTCAGTGATGAGGTCTTGGCCTGTAAGCAGGAGTAGGTCTGTACGAAGGTGTAGGATGGTATGAAGGGGTGGTGTGGTATGAAGGGCTATTTGTAGGACGGTATGAAGGGGTAGGATGGTACGAAGGTTGGTGGGCTTGGTACTGAGCCTGTCCCTCGTACGTGACCTCGGCCACGTAGCCAGAGTCGCCGTCCACGTGGTAGGTGACCTTCTGCAGGCGACCGTCGGGAAGCTGCACGTAGTAGGACCCCTGGGTGTTGTAGCCGTCGCGGGACTCCTGGTGGCTGTAGTCGTTGGCGGAGTAGTCGTCCTTCACGACCCAGTCGAAGTTGTACTGAGCTGGAGACTGAGATGGAAAGGGCAAAGTATATTGTAGCCAAAAATGCATAGATAAAAATTTCAGCAGTATGAAAAGACAAAATTTTAAAAAATCCTTTTACACCAGTAATAATGTGATAATTGATTGGTTTATGAGTCATCACCATAATAGGTTTTCTCTGCACAGAAACAAACGAAAGGAAGATATTCAGTGAAAATGAAACTAGATACTTGAAATGCAAATATTTCATATGATGCAAGGCAGTTACCTGGTAGGAGGGGGGAGGAGAGTACCCGTAGGGAGGCTGTGACGGAGCGGCCAGAGAGGCAGCTGCCAGGCCCAACACGACGATTATCTGCAATGTCAAAAATTGTGAAAGTAAAAAGAAAAAAAGGGGGGTGGGAGAGAGACAGAAACCGGATTTTCTTTTTATTTAATTATTGTTCGCCCTTTACTTTTTGCCATTCTTATTCTATCTATATATCTTTATCATTCATCGATTATCATTTCTCTTATAAAACCATTCTAACCCTAGGGAACATGCTCGCTG